CGTCGCAAGCAGCCTCTCGCCCCAAGTCCCCGAGCCCCCTCCCCCCCGAGAAACTGCCCGCGCCGAAAAGGAGGCGAATTCTGGAGGAGGAGGAGCCCTGGAGTTCTGGATATAGCGACTAGGTCGGACACGAACCACTTAAACAGGAGATGTCTGCTTCCTAGCTAGCTCAGCATTGCTGTGAACTTTGGGCCAGAGACCTCTGGAAATCCGACGAAGACGATCAAATCGATGACCCACTACTTTGTCTGGGCAATCCTGGGCTAACTTTACGAGCTGCCGAGCTGCGTCAAACTCGCAGGTTGTGCAATTCCGGGGGACGAGGAGGAGGAGGAAGAGGAGGAACATAGGAGCATAAACATCACTGTGCTAAGTGGGTGTTTGGCCTCACAAGGACGCTCCAGCCTAGAAGCTGCAGTTTACCCAACGTACAACAAGAGGAGGAAGGAAGGCCAAACATAAAGAGGAGGGGAATTCGGGATGAGGGGGAGGAGGATGTGTTAATTCTAACAAGGGTGACTGGGCCAGGATAATGGTAATATTATAGTTGCCGAGCGTGCGTCGCGATCGACGCCGTTTGGCTCAATTGATCGATCGCTAACACTCGTGTGGGCAGCATCGGGCCTAAAAACATCGTTATCGTTATCGTACCCTTCTTCCCCGAAGATGTGCATGGTAGTGGTGCGAGGTTAACTCGCGAGCAATGGCGGGTGTTGCCGCTGCTGCAGCCGTTGTCGGGCCAGGAAATCCATGGCGTGAGTCAAATAACCAGGACAGGTCGTTAACCTCACCCAGGCCTGGTTCACGGAGCTGCTCGAGGATGCCTTCAACAGTGGGGACTACAGTTACGTGAGTGTCGCGTTACGAGCCAACCATGAAGGCATGAAAGAGATCAAGTGCCTACTGCTCATGGCCCAGAATATGACTTCGCTGTTTCTGTATTTGGTGAACGTGAACATCTACGCCGATAGCGAGTCGAAGAAAGCCGAGAAACAATTAGAACACCTCGAAGTCCAAGTGGGAGTACATATTCGCACATGTGTCAGCGACGGCGTTGCCGAGAGAACGGGGCCCAATGCGGAGAGCAGACACACACACACACCGGCGCATCTGAGTACCAAGCCGGCTTGCGAATACAAGGCCATGCAGCAGTTAAAGGCAATCGTTGGTGATAGGGGCAAGTTCAGGGAATGGAATGACAAGCTCCGGGCCCTTGCACAGGTTAATCCGATTTGTTGCGAGACGCTCCAGAACCCGAGCAAAATGGTGGGAACAATGGGCGCTGCGTCAGACGAGAATGAAGACGATGTGTCAAGGTTGCTCAGTTGTCGGTTAACGGCGACCGAAGAAACAGAAGCGCCAGCACTTAACCGACCAGTTCACGACGACAAAGGGCGATCAAACGCACAAGTTAGATGAGGACCGGCGGTGCATCCTCGACGACGAGCTTGACGAGGTAGATCCGCGAGGAAAATTGAAGGGGCTTGTTACGCGAATGATATGAGCTGCAGGCGTACCAAAAACTACGGGTGATACTCGGCAGTAACCGACATCGCCTTTCAGCCAAAATGAGCTTGGCCATGCAACCAAGAGAAGCCAAACTGACCGGATGCGTGGCGTCACGATTAGAGCAGTGGACGGCGTTAGTGAAGACGCAGAAGGAGCACGGGCCAGCGTGCTCGTTGACCTGCCGTTCCACGTCGCCGCGTTACGATATCCGAACCATCATGTCACGTGCCAGCGGTTGCAGGTTCGACGATTGGCATCGGAGCGATTTCGAATTTCTGGCTCCCGAACGCGGGGGAACAATCAGAGGCTGCATGTGATGTGCGAGGAGTGGGTCCGGAGAAAGAGGCTAGACGCGGGCGCGCAAGGAATCGGCGCCAGGGGGATCGGAGGTGTTGACGACGTGCTCGACGACATATGGGGGCCTGAACGCGAGTGGAACGACGCCAGTCACGTCGACGACAGCGCCCACTGGTGGCCAGGGGAACAGCGGCGCCAGCGGGGCCGGGGGAACGCGCGGGGCGAAGATGCAGGAGCATATGCCGCCAACAAGAAAAAGGCGAGGAAAAGGCAACCAATGTTGATGAGTGTGGGGGATCGGGGCGCATCGAAGTAAACCGTCGAGTAAATGGGCCAGGTAGCGGGAACAGCAGTTGCGCGGAGGCAGCCGCGTCGCGCGCGGCCAGCGCTCCAAGGGCAAAGGAAGTCGCAGAGATATGGGCGACTGAGGAGGAGGCGAAGGACAGTGGGGCCAGGGGCAAGGGGGTTACGTTCCGGTCTCCGACAGGGGGCGTTGCGCTCGCGAAGCTAGGGGGCACGCCGCGGCCAACTGCCCCAAGAGGATGGACGGGGAGGGGGCGAACGTAGGCGACCAGCTGCAGAAAGGACAAGAGAGCGCAACGGCGCCGAACGTCTCGCTGGGGCAACCCTGGCCCCTAGGACGTTGCAGCGCGGGGCCCTAGGAGCCTCCCGGGCTAGCTCGAAACGGGGCTCGCTACGACGGCGTCGCCAAGAAACTGCGATAAATTCGAAATTGCCAACTAAGTGGGCAGTTGCCAACGCATGTGCGTGGGGAGCTGCGCGCGTCGACTTGATTTCGGCGCCAGGGTTCAGACGTGCATCGGGCGCGAGGAAGCTGGTTCGAGAAGCGCGTGGAAGCGCCGTTGGCGGAGAGGCCAGGCGACGCTTTTGAAGGCGGCGTGGCCCGTCAAAATCAGTCAGAGGATGGGTTCGTACACTGTGCTCTGGGGCTCATGGCGCTGTGGGATCGCCGCGGGCTGGTTCGCGCTTTCCTGTTTTCGCCGGGTCCCCCCAGTCGGGCGAGCTTTGCAGCGCCGCCGACGGGTCCGTCGCGCGCAATTACGGCCAGACGGCGATAACGCGCAAGAGTGGTGAAGGCGCCGAAGGTTCTGCGCCCATTCGAGTCGCGGATGTTCGCGAGATGCCCGGGTCGGCCAGAGAATTGCCAGGCGCTGGCGCCCGGGTCGCGCCAGGCGGAGGCTCGCGCGGGGGTGCCCGCAGCCGCTTGGGGCGCGATGCGAGCGGGCGCAGGGCAGCTGTTCAGAGGGAAGGGGGGGCGTTCCACTTCAGCGTCAAGGTGCCCAGGAAGCAGGGGGCGAGTATCAGAGTAACCGGGCTCGGGAAGTTCACGGGGGCGATGATTTGCCGAGACAGGGGGCCTTGGCGGAGGGCCGTTCTACCGGGTCCCCGCCGGCCCGCGAGTCCCGTTCAGATCGCAGTTATTCTTGGATTCGCCAATGCAAGTGATGTGTGTGTGTGTGTGTGTGTGTGTGTGTGTGTGTGTGTGTGTGTGTGTGTGTGTGTGTGTGTGTGTGTGTGTGTGTGTGTGTGTGTGTGTGTGTGTGTGTGTGTGTGTGTGTGTGTGTGTGTGTGTGTGTGTGTGTGTGTGTGTGCGTGTGTGTGTGTGTGTGTGTGTGTGTGTGTGTGTGTGTGTGTGTGTGCGTGTATGTTTTTTTTTTTGGGGGGGGGGCGAGCTGGGTGACGTGGGGGGCGCGTCTGCGCGGTGGGGGGCAGAGTCGCCGGGGAGGGGGCGCGCTGCGACGCGAGGCCAGCCAAGGAAGAAGTTGAGTTACACAATGCAACTTGCCTACCTTGCGTCGGGGGCAAGGCCGGGGGGCGCGACCGCCGAACATTGATGGGAGTGAGCGACGAGCAGGGGGGCGCCCATCGTTCCAGTCGACTGCGCGCGGTTAGAGGGCACGAAAGGAGGCAGTGATGGGCGATGAGAAAGGCAGCCCCGCATCAACGATGCGCCGCCGCGAAACGAAACTAATTTGGAGCGAGGTAGTCATCGAAGTGGGCGCGGGCCCGCGGTCGGTTGAAGTATTGGGCGAGACGATTGCGTTCGCAGGCCGCAGGGCAGCGGTAGTTTTTTTTTTTTTTTTTTTTTTTTGGGGGGGGGTGGCGGCGGCGAATCAGAGCCAGCCCCCCTCGGAGGCGCGTTAAAACATGCGTTCTTCGAACGTCGGGGCGGAAGCCATCCCGGTCGGAGACCCCTCAGTCCAGCGGCGAGATCGAAAGGGCCATCGGCGCCGCGGGAGGACGAGATAGGACCATAACACAAAACGCGTTAGACAGCAGCGACACTATCGAATCTGGTGGAAATCGCCCGCCCGCGCCGCGGTTAGCGTCGCGCGCGTCGTCGGCCGCGAGGGCGCGCGCGACGGGCGCCGATGGAAATGCGACCCGCGAGAGATGCAGAGGCAGAAGCATTAACCGACAGCTACCTTGACGCATGGAACGCGCGATGTTCCACGAGACGTCGCCCGAGGAACTGGGCGGCAAGCGTGGGCCCGGTCAGGGAAGCGGGGCCTGCGTCGGCGCTGGCGAAAACAGCCGGGAACAGAGCGCGGGAACGGCGCGAGGGGCCGGCAATGCCAGCGGGTTCAGGGAGGGAAGTGAAGAGGAAAGGTGGAACATTGAGGAAGCGATTGCCACGCGAGGTTCGCCGCGGCAGCCGGATCGCGCGCGGCGGGCCGCGAAGTGGAGCCTCGAGTCGCTGCGCCCCTAGCTAGACCGCTGGGCGAAGAAGACGCCGCGAACGCCGAACCCGCAGCGACCAGAGCACTTGCAGCAAAGGCCAAAATATCCGGCAGGGGGGCCTGCTCTTGGACGATGCGGGCGCGAGGCCTTCGTTCGGGGAGTAGACGCGCGAGCCCCGTAATCCCGCGCGCCGTCAGCGAGTCATTTCGCGGTTAGAGAAGAGAGACGACCATGGCGCGCGAGAGAGAGCCCAATCAGCGCGAGTTAG